TTCATAAACGATTACGGTTCCCTTAACGCGATGATTACATCGATATAATGCGATAATCGGAATAATAGCAAGATAAATTGTGTTCGTAACCGAGCTGTGTCATGCGAAATCACATTCGCTCCCGTTGCGCAGTTTATGTAAATGGCTGTCGGAATCAGGAAACACCCACCGGCGCTCTTCGTGACCTCATTTTTTCGCCGCATTATTGCAACGCTCCACTGATGGCTTTGACGAGGCTCGTACAGGAATTGGAAAGCAGCGTGGTAGTTTCCCGTCGCCTTTTACAGTCGCCGCAACTTTGTCGTTACGTTCGATCGCTGTAGCTACAGTGTCTTGGCCTTAATTGTGTATAATTGTGTATTCGTGTGAAATCAAGCAAGCGTTGAGCAAATTTTGGCAGCACGCTTTCCTACCTGCTATATATTTATGTGTTAGTGTGCAGCACCTACTTGACCTAGCGTGCGGCAGCCAGCGTGTGTTGCAGATGAGCATTTGGACGCCATTTACAGCAAATTGTCGGCAATAATAGGTGAAAGAGAGTGGAGAAACATTATCATTAAGACTTTGGTGGTAAATAGATTTCGTATTTATTTAGCATTATATTTTATTAAAACGCTCCAAGTGCCTGTGGCTGTGATTCCGCCTACCTGTACTCTGAGTCTGTAGTGTAGACTGTGTACATAGTCATGATATTGTCATTGATAATCATAGTGTAGTAACTCACTAACACTGTATTATATAATACTATTACTAGTTCAACCTTGTGTAAGTTCGCAACAATACAGCAACTGGAAGCAAACCAATTGCATTATAAGCAAGGTAAAAAGTTACAAGTACGCATGCCTGGTAGAAGTAGTACAAGTACTAGTAGGCCTACAACATCAACAACAATTATGACCACTAAAATAAAGCCAAATGTGAATTACTTGGCTTACGATATCATGCGTTCACTGCGTAGAGAAACATCCGACCTCACTGTCTAGTTTTCTTATTAAAACACACTAATAGTACAATATTCTAAATAGTATGAAAATGGTAGATTACGTAAATTACTTTGCCAAATGATAACATTTACCAGAATAGTTAGTGGTATGTGTAGCGAAAAAGAAAGAAACACGAAGAATTCATGCGCAACTGTTTTTCTCGTGACCGACTAAATTTTCTCGCGAGAAGATAGAATCCATTTATGCGCATGCGCATTTTTTGGCGCAATATTTGGTTTCGTCTTGCGAAAGAGGACCTGCCTCAAGTTGAGACTACCTTAATAGTAAATACGCTAAACTAACATAGATAATCAACACATGATCAAATTAATAACTTGGAGCCCTTTGGCTTATAATATTTGCTGTGGCTACGGGTACGCCAGCCGTATCTTTAATGTCTCGAGGCTGGAGGTACGGCAGTCCATTCCGCATTCGCTTTCATACTTAACGAGAAAAAGATGGCGGCGGTTGGCGCCAGATTTCAAAATAACGCCTTGGGAAATTAATTCACGATTTGTGAGTTTAGATGAGCTAGAAGTTAGAACCCTAACGCCAAAAAGGGGGTTCAACGAACGACCGCTGCCGTACCTCTAGCCACTGCGTAATATACTAATTTACACGTCTGTGTTATTATCTACTCTTGATGCTACGCCTATATCAGGGTTCTCCCCAGGATGAAATTCAAACAGGGGGGACTAGGGGGTCCGGGGGCGTGTAATTTTTACCGGGGTAGCCGACTCCAGGAGGCTTAATGGCGTCACACAATCGGGGGGACCACAAACCGCCCATAAGGTATTTGGGGTCTTGTATATATAGAAGAGATACGCCCGAGTCGGTGTACGTTAGTGTGGGTTTCGGGAACAGTTAAGCTGTTTGTCACTTGTGTGTATTGTCTCAGTGCATGCGTGGTCGCGTAAAAATACACGCTCGGGTGTCCTGGTCGAATGGGAATTCTTGACGACCGACTCCGCGGCGCTGGCAAACTTTTATTGTGGTGAATTTTAATCGGGCGGAGTAATTTAAACGGGGCGCAAGCGATTGGAAACAGAGGGGGAGGGGCGCGCGCGCCCCGTTTGCGCAACGTAGAATGTAGTTAACCCGTAGAGAACCCTGCCTATGCATACTGTAGTCTATAATTTATACTAATACTTTAATAGTAATAATATTAATGCTGAGAGGGTATGTCCCCCGGAGTACAGGTACTGCCGGAACGTACCCTGGGTACGGTCCGGTATACCGCCCGGAACGTACCCTGGTACGATCTAATAATTGTAGTAATATGCCGGACTGTACCGGTACCTCACCTACTCCACTAACGAGTAGGGAGTCGCCTACTCCCTAACCCTAACCCTAATCCTAATCCTAACCATATCAAATAACGACCAGGGTACGTTCTGGCAGTACCCTGGGGGACATAGTCATAGACCGGGCCCTATGAGCAATATGCATACTAGTAAGAATATTAGTTAGTAGTTAGTACTACTAAGAATATTAATACTAATATACTAATTTAGATACAATAATGTTACCCAAACACAGGATAGGCCCATAGGGTTCCAAGCGAGCCTATTCTTTTCTTTGGAGGAACCCCTGAGTGAATCACTCAGGGCGGTTTGCTGGTGCGTTTTCAGAGACTAGAACTTCCAAACTGGGTTTATTCTCAACACGAACTTTTCTCCGCTATCCTGGAACTTACTAATACTATGTAACTTCGTAATCTCAGGGTGGCTCCTATTAGCAGATAGTAGTAGAGGGTGGAGGCGTGCCTGTGTTGAATCCTTCGAGCAGTGTCGTCGGTCGGTAGGGAGCTAAAGGTGACGTAATATTCTCGAAGTAGGATTATCAGTTAGCATCTCCAGATGGCAGAGGTGTCCTAGGTGGACTGACTCATCGTGAGCCAGCCGCCGTGGCCGGAGCCAGTCGGCTGTCGGTCCTGCTCTTGGTCCGACTGTCTCTTCTCTGGGTGTCTCTCAGATTGACTTCTCAAGAGGGCGTATTTATTACTAAACTGCGTGCCGTGACTTGTCTTGCGCAACTTGTGAGGTCGCGCGTTTTGGACTTGAGGGTGAGAGGGCGAGACCTCGAGTGATAACTCATTTTTATGTTTTCGTTATAGCTTTTGCTTATACTCTAATTGTTCAGTTTACCGAAGGTTGCATAGCAACGCAGAAAACCTGCGTTATTTTTAGGTCGTTGAACTGTAGTAAAATTTGTAGGTTTCGTTACCTAGATATTTAATAGCCTAGAAAATCCGTTACTATACCGGGTTCACTTTTTATTTCACTAGACCATCGGGCTAGTAAGTTCTGAGGAAAACCACTAGCCTTGACCTAACTTTCACTAGCCCAGACTCAGACCATTGTTATGAAAAACTTTGTGTCATCGTATGAATTCTACTAAAATTTCTCTAAATTTACTGCACTTAAGGGTCGGACACACTAGGCGATTTTATCGGGCGACTCAGTCGGGCGACTCAATCGCCGGTGAAAATCGCCTAATGTGTCCAGTCAGTCGCCGCCGATTTAGTCGCCCGATTTAGTCGCCCGATTCAATCGCATCGATCAAAACGTTTTGATATTATTGGACGATTATTTAAGTCGCGCGGCTCAATCGCCTAGTGTGTCCGGGTCGGCGAATGTACAATTCATCAGCCAATCAAACGGTGCTATTTTCAATCATGTGCATGACTATCAATCTAGGTGGCGCGAGTGTTTTAGTGTTGCAGCGGGAGAAAAATCGCCGATGAATCGCGCTGATATTCGCCTAGTGTGTCCACTCTTAGTCGACCGACTCATTCGCCGGCGACCATTTTATCGCCCGATTAGATCGCATTAAGGGCCTTAAAATTGCCTAGTGTGTTTGGCCCTTTAGCAAGCTACACACTGTACAGATCACAGCTGGCCATTCTTGCGCGAGCGTCGTTTCCCGCGCTTTAAATCGCGCGCGGGCTGAGTCCACGTGCAGCATTTAAATATTCGTGTTCTACCACGGGCATACACAGGCCCAGTGGCGCACGATTTATCGATCGTCTACTGGCAGCGGTTGGCAGCAAGCAACGTTATTGTTTTTGCCGAAGGGTAGACTGGTATCCGGCCTCACGCTCTGCTAGACAATGTACACGCTCTGCGACAAACAGTGCGGCCGCGAACCAGTCTAGCCAGAGGCATCGACGGCAATTACAGAAAAGGGCAAGGCAGGTCACTGCCGTCGATCGGGTTGGATTTTCAGGGGCAGTACTTATGACGATTGATAGGGGCACCGCCACCGGTCCTGTCGGTTAATTCGAGCCCTGGGTAGAGCTATTCCGGGCTAGGTGTGGGCTAACTCGCAACCTACAGTCACAACCCGGTTGTCAACTGGGCTCAACCAGGCTAAGTTGGCATTGGGTTACTGCGCATGCTCAGTTTAGTTTGTTACAATACATCACTCAGCAGACAGCAATGCCGGATAAACAATAGTACCACCGATAGCGTAGTAGGATTTATACTGTATTATTGTAATAACAGAAGAAGAAGGATATTAACAGGTGATTGAATAGACAGCAGTTCTAAGCTGCAACCAGCATATAATCAAATCTGAGTATCCAATTATAATTCAATTCAGCCATTTTATCAGCAATGGAAGTGTAAACATGCACATTCCTACGTCTGCCTTCCCATACATTCTGGATAGATTCTTCTGACCAAAATTAAGTTGTAATTTATTAGACTTTAGTGCAGTGAAGATCATAAACACAATTTCAAACACAATTTCACATGCTATGTCAACCAAACAAGGCTTACTTACGTCCCTTAAGACTAATATTTATGAGGTTATGAGCTTTACTCGTGCAGCTGTTGCTCCGTCATGGGGCTATTTAGCGAAGTATGTTCAAAGTAACCTAGTCAGGAATCCGAATGCAGAAGGCCCATGCACTTACAAGTGCTTTCACTATTTCCAATTATATCTGGTTGCATTCAGCAAAATATAACGGCCAAATTTGAGCAAACCTTGATAGATTGAGTCTCGCTTAGTTATTTTCTTTCACATTTCTATGTTAACATAGATGAGGAAGTCATCCCTTGGAGCTGCGCGGGTTTCTATTGGACCACGGCGTATGCGAAATGACCAACCACTCTCGTCTCTAAAGAGAAGCACAAGCGCCAGCAGACTATCTTCTGGCAGCACTCACGCTTCACGCAGCAGTTCTGGTATGTCAGATTCATAGCAGTTCTCCAGCCTCATACTGTGGTCATACTGTACGTGCGTGCACTATATGTTACTCCTGAACATGCTCAATTATCTTTTACTTTTTCAAGTAATAAATTGTCATGTCAAACTGTAAATTTACCATCAATATATAGTTTGCTATGCTTCTCTTTAGTTCCAGGTAGGCTGTCATTCGGTAATTCGCAAACTGGTGCTCGAAACTCATTGGCTACTAGAGGAAGCTCTCTCAAGAGGTGAGTATTGCAGGAGCAATGAATGGGGATGCAAATCCTACATTTTTCAGCTCGCTTATTAATAACGGTGATAGAAATTAATTTAATGCAAAAATTCAAAAAGGCTTCCCTCCTCTCAAAAAGAAGGAATCTGCAGCAAAAGGATAGAGGCTGCAGTTTGAAGCTCAGAACTAAAGATAGCAGTAATGCAAGTAACCCAAGACAGTCGAAGCAAATAGAGAGACAGATAGCACCTCAGCTATAACCTCGTGGAAATACTCTCAATAACTTGCTTTGATGTGGTGAAGAAATTCAACTAAAACTACTCCATAGTTATTGATCACGATTTAGCTTTATACATCTATAGATATTAACTAATCTATCACTAATCGATTACACATTTCCTATAAAGCAGAAATTATTAAATTTATTATTGTAAGTAGTATTTTACTTGTGTTACCCAAACAGAACTTCTGGGTATGGTCATGCAAGCTACAGTGATGGTCCGAAAAAAGATCCTCGACCAATCAGCAACCAATCATACATGAAAGAGGAGATCCGGAAGTTGGTTGAGGTATGTACTGTTTTTCAGCCTAACCATTTATCAGATGAAATAATCTACAGTACGTACTGCGTACGTGTTGCTTTATGATAAAGGTTGTTTTTTGTAGGTGTTAGCTATCCAACTGTTATGTGAAACCATTATTTTTTTAGTGAATTTATGATATGTATTGTGTGTACATCTGTCCGTGATACAAGTTATCAACTATGCAATAAGGGGAAAATTCCCAGAAAGGCCAATGTGTGGCATGACCAATGTCAAATTTCTTTTCAGTTTTTGATACAGTGTGGTTATCCACATCATATCAGTCTGAAGCTGCTGTTGAGGCCAATGGCTAAAGATGTGCTGAGAATTTTTGAGGTACTGCATTTAATATTATTAGCCAGACATACAGCTAAATAACACGTGTTGTTTATACCAATGCTGCCAGTGCCTGCTACTGTCATTGGTACACTATTGCAAGGACTATTCATTAAAGGGTTCATTTATTTGGTTATATACTTGCTACTTGCTGCCCCCACAAAATATTGTTTAATGTACACTGAGGGGGGGGGGAATCGCAAAAAGGACTCGGGATGTCGAATTTGGGGGTCAAAGGTCAAGATGTGTCAATGGAGGTGGACTATTTCCTCCTTAACTTAAAGTATAGGAGGATATACGGAATTGCGGCACAAATCTCAACGGCTTGACCTACGCTCTTAATATTCGATGTATAGTGTGATGGGGAGAAAACCCATAACCAGCGCGAAATTGGAGGTCACAGGTCAAAGGGCAGTGGGGGAAAGGTCAGATATCAGTGAAACAATTTGGGCACTATCATGGTTTACTAGAATCCCCCACTCCATCACAGAGTCACTGGTAAGAGCGTTAGATGAGCGCTGCGCCTGCCGCGGCACTTGCGAATGACGCAGTGGCTCACGCTGTCCCGAATGCCGCGTCGCCGTAGCAGCTCCAGGCGGCTTACGCATCCGCGACATCCATCACCGAGTGATTCTTCCGACTCGCGTACAGACTGCATTGATTGGTCGCAACAGCGACAATCTCTCTCTCTCCTCTCCCTCTGCTCTTTCTCTACTCGTCTTCTCTCTCTCTCTCTTCTCTGCTCTCTCTCTCTTACTCGCTGTCTCGTCTCTACTCTCGTCCTCTCTACTACTCTTCTCTCTCTCTCTCCTCTCTCTCTCTCTATCTCGTCTCTCTCTCGTCTCTTCTCTCTCTCTCTCTCTTCTCTTCTCGTCTCGTCTCTCTCTTCTGCTCTTCTCTCTCTCTCTCTCTCTCTCTTCTCTCTCCTCTCTCTCTCTCTCTTCTCTCTCTCTCATCTCTGCTCTCCTCTCCTCTCTCTTCTCTTCTTCCACCGTTCATTTCATCTCTCTCTCTCTCTCCTCTCCTCCCTTCCTCTCTCATCTTCTCTCTCTACTCCTCTCTCTCTCATCACTCTCTCTCCTCTCTCTCTCTCGTCTCTTTCTCTCTTCTCTTCTCTCTCTCTCTCTCATCGTCTCTCCTCCCTTTCCCGTCCCCTGCCCTCCTCTCTTCTCTGCTCTCCTCTCTCTCTCTCATCCGTCGCTCTATCTCTTGCTCATGCCGGGCTTCTCCTTGTCTCTCTCCTTCTCTCTCCTCTCTCTCTCTCTCTCTTCATCTCTCTCTCTCTCTCTTTCTCTCGCTCTCTCTTCTCCTCCTTCTCTCTCTCCTCTCTCTCTCTCTCTCTCTCCTCTCTCGTCTCTCCTCTCTCTCTACCTCTCTCGTCTCCTCTCTCTCTCTCTCTCTCTCTTCTCTCTCATTTCTCTCTCCTCTTCTCTCTCACACACACACCACACGATCACACACACACCACACAGTACCACAGCACACACACACACAGCATCAACCACCACACCACCCTACATCACACACACCCTCTCTCTCTTCTCTCTCCTCTCTTCTTCTCTCTCTCTCTCTATCTCATCTCCTCTCTCTACACACACACGCACACGCACAACCACACAACACACCTCCTCTCGCTCTCTCTCTCTCACACATCACGCAGCACGCACACGCACGGACGACGCAAACACACAGCACACACACACACACACACGCAGCAATCAGCAGAGCGTCCGCTTGCGCCAACCATGCGTGTGTACGTGTCGCAAAGTTTATTACTGTGTAGAGATGGATATCCGGCGCGTAGCCGTTAGCAGAGACGTCGTCATTGCAGATGTCATAAATCTAAGTTCTCATCGGTAATAGGCGCTCACCACACGTGTGTGGTGTTTGTGTCTGTGTCTCATGTGTGTGCCACTGGGCGATCTTGTGCGTATTCGGTTCATCGGGACCTGTCGATCTATTAGGGGATTGCACCTCATACCAGCAAGCCATAGCCTATTTGCAAGCGAGCGCAAGCACCAAGTGTGCCGATGTTGATCATAAATGTGATCTGATATACATTGCGTATCCAAGCGAACCAGATCAATACGTCTGCAGTGTACTGTGGAGGCCGTATGTAAATGACGAGCTGAAGCGATGAGAAATTTCATTTGCACAGGCGAAACAATTGTTGAAATGTACTATCCAAAAAATTGAGATACAGATTTTCTGGGGGGGATAACCAAGATTCCAATACCTGGTATCCGAATGCGCATACGCATAATAACAATCTAATTTACGACTTTTAAGCCCCCTGATTGCTATTACGCCTTAATAGTTACTCATAACTAATTGTTAATTTTACATCCATGTCTAGGTTGTAGGGGAATGACTAAAGACGCTGCATATGACAAGGCTAGCCTATCGCAAAACGGAGATTGCTCAAATGAAACTCAGACGCCTCAATACATGAGCCGGTGACCGTGAATGAATATATGATACCAATGCTATCGCTGTTGCAAGCATATGCTGCGTTAACACTCGATCGTCTACTAGGCGTCTGGAAGCCCCTATGTCATGGAAATGCTCGCC